ATACATGATACCTTTTCATAATTTAATTTAGTGCTTCTAATTTTTCTAAAACGTAACAACTCATTGTTTAGTAATATTATTATTATATATTTTACGAAACTATGTTACCTGATACTGTTAATTCTTATACATATACTATCCACTATGTTACCCTAATTCTACTCTACTCTACTCTACTCGATTTATCGGACAGTATTGAGTTGTCATGAATCATGAAAATACTAGATGCTTGTGACTATCATATTTTTCAGCCCTAGTGAAACTAATTCGTACTAACTCCAACTCGAATTATCGTAAACACCCAATGTAGAAGATAATGGGACCCTTTACTGCGCGCGCACGCGGACATTATTTTTGTTAATAGAATATTAACATAACTTAATATATTAACATAAACATAACTTTGAAATACACAATGCCTAGATTAAAATCACACTAAGCTACTCACTACGCGGCTACACTACGACGTAGAAATATATATTTAAGCCATACATCGTGTGTTATATATATGCTAATTTTGATCAACCATGATGGCCGCGACGAATATTTCCTCTCATCCCTAAAGCTTCACACCCCGTATCATCAGAAGCTACCTTGTGCTCCATCCAGACACTTCTACGTCTTCGTATGGCACTATATCTTATCTTTATTTTTGTGTAGGGAAAACCGAGGCTACATGGAGCATGTTGTTCATATGTTTTTTTTTAAATATTTATCTTGAGAGGAATAGTAGGCACACAAAATCGCGAAATAGTTCTTTTAGAACATAAATTTTCTCTGAGTTTTATTAAAATCGGAATAATATTATAGTTAAGAAATAAAAAAGCTGATTTTTAGTAATAGCAAAGTAAATTTTCAAACCTTTCGAAATTTTTTAATGATATTTTTTATCGTGGCTGAATAAAATTAAGCGGTGTGTTACTAGCTAGAATGAAATTCTAGCAAGTTTCTAGCACTTTCTTGCAAGTGTATGATATACTGTTTCTAAAATGCAATTTTAATTCATAAAGTAATTGAAATGGAGCATATGGGCGGATGAGGTAAAGTTGCCCTTTAATTATACGCGGCCGGTCTCACGCTGTTTCTCGCTTCGCGCGTTCACTTGACGCGAGACGCGTCTCTTGATTTTGGTTATTACAAAAAAAAATATACGATCAACAGAGTCGTGCACTGAGAGAAATTATCCCATAAAAAATGAACAAACAAATATTTCCGATCAAAATACTAATGAATTCTTGTATTCGATTAGAAAACATTCGATGAGAAATATCGATTAATAATTTTTTTATCGGTTTATTTTAAATGCCATTATAATCGGAAGTATCCGATAAGATTTAATTGGATATCCTGATCGGATATAAAAATTGATCGGTATTTCGATCGGAAATATCCGTTTGTTAACTTTTTTATCGAATAATTTCTCTCAGCGTGGCGGACATTAATACATAGAAAAATGTTGCCTCTATCATGTTTATACGATCAATCACAATTAGTTGCCTGAAAAGTTGTAAATTCTAAAATATAGGGCATCTAGCCCCGGGTTTCCCTGCGATTTCTCAAGGTGTGTTCGCGCGCGGTTGAATCAACCCAATTCCTCTGACAAATTAGAGGTAGACGGATCGCGTCCGGCCAGCTCGGTCATTTCGCGCAGCGTGCGTCCGCGGCGAGGAAACGAGCGAGGAAAACGCGGCGAGAAATCGCGGGGGAAACGTCCTCGCCGTCATCATCGTCTTCATCATTGCTCCGGGTTCTCATCAGGGTTCTCCCTCCCTCCCTCCCTCTCTTTCTCTCTCTCTCTCTTTCTCTCTCTCCGCGTCTAACGATGACTCCGCGGCGCACCGTGATGCGGGACCGCGAACGAAGGAGAGTTCTCGTCGGCACGCTTCGATGCACTCGCGCCGGGCCGACTGCACCGTTAGACACCGCGGTAATACGCGCTTGCTCGCGGTGGTGCACGGTAACAAAATACTCGGTTACACTGACCGCCGCTGCGCCGAGGTGTCGTTGATGCTCAGCTCGGTCTGAAACGCTCGCGAATTTTCCGTAAGGGGCGCGAGATCGATCCACGGCGTTCCGTGGAACTCGAAGAAGCGAGGTCGGTTAGATAGACGCACGATTCAACACGGTTCGATCTTCTCAGGGGTACTGACACATGCGTATGTTTGGGCACATTCAATTTTTCTTTTCTTATTCAAACATGGTCGACAGACAAAGATACAATGTACACAGAAAGAAAATAACTATTGATGTAACTAAAATTATAGTTACTTTTGGTTCCAATCGTATCTTTAGATTGCCCCAACAGGAAAATAGTAATAACAGGCTATTGTCACTGACATCATAGTAGAGTTTATAAATAAAAAAAAATGATTTTCTTGACTATAATTTCTAATAATTATTTCTCTATATATTTGTAGTTACAAATACCAAACATTTTTTCCTCAGTATGTTATTATTATGAATGAATATTCACCATAAAATTCCACAACAAGAAAAAGAGATATCGTAAGATTGATAGATGTCTTCATGATATTTATGTCAATCTAAAATAAAATCAGTTTCTTCTAACAATCAGTTTCTTCTAACAAATAAAATCAGTTTCTTCTAATAAATTCCTTTAAACATGTTCAAATTTTTTTTATTAGGTGTACAACTTTGCTTCCGCCGTTTTCCTATAGATGGCTTTAGCGGTAAGTGGTGATCGAAATAAATAGATCATAGACGTCATACAATAAACTTGGGCATCTGTCAACATAACCCCACAGAAACATTAGTCGATTTGTGTTTGCATCATAAAGTTATTCTCGATTGAAAATGTCAGTTTAGAAGCCAAGTTCTCGTCATTTGCGAGAGGTTTTAATTTTCTGTTTCAATATGAAGAAATCTGCAGCTGAGGGTCATCGAATGCTCTCAAATACTTATGGTGAGGCCGCTATTAGTGAAAGAATGTGTCGTGAGTGGTTTCAACGCTTCAAGAACGGTGATTTTGACGTCGAAGACCGACATAGCGGTGGAAGAGAGAAGGTTTTCGAAGATGCAGAATTGGAGGCATTACTTGATCAAGACTCGTGTCAAAATCAAGAAGAATTGGCACGATCATTGGGAGTAACTCAACAAGCCATTTCAAAACGCCTCAAAGCCATGGGAATGATTCAGAAGCAAGGAAATTGGGTGCCGTACGAATTGAAGCCGAGAGATGTTGAACGGCGTTTGTTTGCTTGTAAACAGCTGCTTGAAACGCAAAGACGGAAGGGATTTCTGCATCGCATTGTGACTGGGGACGAAAAATGGGTTCATTACGATAACCCCAAGCGCAGAAAATCATGGGGAGTTCCCGGCTATGCTTCCACGTCGACGGCCAAACCGAATATTCACGGCTCTTCAAAGGTCATGCTCTGTATTTGGTGGGACCAGCTCGGCGTAGTGTATTATGAGCTGTTAAAACCGACTGAAACAATCACAGGCGATCGGTATCGAACGCAATTGATGCGTTTGAGCCGAGCATTGAAAGACAAACGGCCGCAATACAACGAGAGACACGATAAAGTGATTTTGCAGCATGACAATGCTCGACCCCATGTTGCGAAAGTGGTCAAGACATACTTGGAAACGTTGAAATGGGAAGTCCTACCCCACCCGCCGTATTCTCCAGACGTTGCTCCCTCTGACTATCACTTGTTTCGATCAATGGCACACGGCCTGGCTGACCAGCACTTCCGGTCTTATGAAGAAGTAAAAAATTGGATCGATTCGTGGATCGCCTCAAAAGATGACCAGTTTTTTCGACGCGGGATTTGTACGCTACCCAAAAGATGGGAGAAAGTAGTGGCCAGCGATGGACAATACTTTGAATCATAAATGTATAACCAGTTTTTTACAATAAAGCCTCGAATTTCGGAAAAAAACGGCGGAAGCAAAGTTGTACACCTAATAATTTAAACATTATCGACAAAGATTTTTAATAAATACATACCACAAAATTCTACAACAAGGAAAAGAGAAATCTTGTCATTGGTAGATGCAATGTTTATGTCACTCTAAAATAAAATTAGTTTCTTTTAACTTAAATAAATCTGTTTAGATAAGTTCAATTTTTTTTTAATCCAAACATTGTTGACAAAGATATAATGAATATTGCTATGAATAAATATTGAGCATAAAATTCTACAAATAAAAGAGAAATACTGTCATATGATTGGCAGATATTAATGTTTATGTTACTCCAAAACAAAATCAGTTTTTTTTTACCTTAATAAATTCTTCCCTGAAGAAGTTAATACGTCGATTGCCATGAGAACCATCGGACTTACGCTATGATATTATCGCGTCTCACTCATTTATGTATAAAACATAATTAACGCCATAATTAATACATAAAAAATTAAACGCATGTTCAAGAGAAAGTCAGTAAAAAAAAATAACGAGCTAACGGATATATGCAACGCGAGTTATATTTATTTATCATAATTTTATTGTTGATTCAAGCTTTAGTCGAGCATTAAGATAAACAATAGAAATCAGCGTGGTAACCAACGTGTTGAGACTGCACTTTCCGCGTTTATTTATACTTATAATAATCGCAAAACACGTCTTTTCTCGTGCAGAAATAAACTTGGGCTATACATTGTAGCGTATCGCAGTCAGGTCGATTAAAGTGAACGCCAATTGAAAAGCGCTTTTCGTTCCGCTTCCACTGAGCGATTTTGCTCTCGATGGGTTTCGCTTTCGAGATTGAATGTTGTCTTCAGATAGCAGAATCCTCGAGATTGATTTTAATTACTGCGAAGCTCACTGGAGAGTGTTGATCTCCGCCGAGAAAAAGAGGGAAAGAGGAAAGGAAGAGAGAGAAAGGGAAAGAGAGAGAGATAAATTCTCGAATTACGAGTAGAAACTTTCATATATCAATTATGTTGTTAAATATAACCTGCAAGGCGAAACCGATGGAAAAACAAACGATCGCGGAACAAGGTTTTTAATCAGAGCCGTACGTTTCGACGTACCTTCGACGTTTTAGCCGCTTACTGATCGTAGATCCCGTCCCACTCCTCGTCTCTGCGTGCCCCTAAGACTGTCGCATGACGCGCTGTCCTGAAATATCAAAGTAACGTGGATTATTTAGTGAAAGTTATCTCGGCGGAGCGTGAAATATGCGGATATCGCGATGTGACGCATACGCGCGATCAAGACCGCGATCGACAGCGGAATCGACGGCGCGATACGGAAATACGGTTATACAAATCCGCGGCTCGTTATCAGTTGATGGAATCGCGTGAATTTCTGGTCGCTCGGTGTCACGCAGATAGAAGATATCGTTCAAATTAAATATATAGTTTACACATATAATCAGGAGGAAGCCAATGAAGGTATACGAGCCAACAAGTATATGTGTCGCGAATTGCATATAATACACTGAGAAAAAATATCTGAAAATTAACAAATATTTATTAGATTAGTACCGTTAACATACTTATTTAAATCAAAATTCTTTTCATTTAAACCGAGTATTATTTACTCAGTTTAAGTAAACAATATTTTTAATGTTGTAACCAATACAACGTAAGTTTTGCAGGAGAAAGTTAAGGTCGGTGAAGATTTCAACTCCAGCATCCCCTTAATCCGAATCTTCCCGAATCTCAATCAGAATTAATTTTTGTGAGAAAACGAAATAAATTTCAGTTAAATCCCAGGAAATTTTCTACACAAGAATCAGAGCCCATAATTATTTTGGGAAATCGGGCTGAATCTCAATTAGAAACTAAGAAAATCTACAGTAATGCAATACTCTCGGTCCGTTGATCGTTGCCGGAAGATACAAAATATAAGATATAAGATCAACATATGTTTGGCTCAGCTCTAATGTAAAATGAAAACTAGAAAGAATATCGGGAAAAGTTTGAGTTCTTTGGGATCCTATCCAAATCTCAAGAAATTTTGTATGCAGGGAAACACGTAGTGTTGACTGCCACATAGATTCCCATTAATTTCCTTAAAAAAATAAAAAAAGTTTGCAGAAAGATTTCTATATATGTATGTGGTTAGGTTTTCCATTAAATATAATAAAACATAATAACACACATTTACGTAAGACCTATAAGTACAAGAAATATAAAGAGAATAGCGTGATTGTGTTAGTGGCAATCATTTCACGTCATCGATAATTTTGAAGTTTATTATCGACTTTATCATTTCTTCAAAAGTATATTATTTAAAAATATGATTTTTTCTAAATGGGAGAGAGAGAGAGAGAGACACACCCAAATTCCCGCTTTTTCTTCCAAAAGTTTCCTTTTCTTCAACTTCTATTTTACATTTATGTTGAACAAAATATATGAAATGCTTTGAGTGGGTGTTTACAAGTATAAATACTTAAAAAACAAAAATACTCAAACTGTTCCAAGTGTTTTACTCAATCTTTTTCTTAAATAAATAATAAATATCTCAAATAAAAAATAATATGTGTATTATATTTTTACTTCAAATATAAAATTTTAATATTACATTAAACAAATAATTACTTTGTAATTATAAATAACAGTCAGTAAGTTATAAGAATGACTGTACAATATAATATTTTAAAGAGAACAGATCTTATATTCTTATAAATCATAATTATAACAATATTAATTTTTACTTTTTTTCTCTGTGTCTCCTTTCTTCTTTCCTTTCATTTTTCTTACGCAACTTTTCTCCTGCCTTTAGGTATTTCACTTAGAATCGCAACTTCAATCATTTGTAAAATCAGAATAATCCTAATTAGATTCCAGAAAATTTCCTATAGTTGAATAAAAATGGGATTCCCATTTTGGCATCATAGTGAAATTAATTTTAGAACAAATTTAGGCATTCTAATTGGAATCTATGCCGTATTTGAGAAAATCTTGGGAAATTTGTATGCAGATTGAGAATTTCACGTTTCAGAGAAGTTTCAAAGTTAGAGAGACAAAATTTCGCGTCTCGTTGAGAAGGCACGGCGCAGCTTCGAAGTATTCAGCGATAATTCAGCTCGAGTACCGTTAGTCTTAGTTATGATTAGCCTCGCGTGAAGACGGTAGAAACTTATATTATTTAATTGCAGCGCGGATTGTTCGATCCGAGACCGTTCTGCTACGAGATAGATCGCGTGTGATTTAGTGGCTTTCTCATTGGGGGATTAATTAGAAAAAATACTTTTTCTCAACCGAAACGTGTTATCATCGGAAATGCGCGGTTAACGGCCGGTCGTTTTATTGCATTCTGCATTTCCAACATGCGTTCTGCATTCTTTATGACCCCGGCGGAGTTTCATTAGGCTGCGTCTTGTAATTGCGTGTGAGAATGCGCTCGGCGATACGCGCAAAAGCGCAAAAAGAGCCAGACGACTTGACAAACGCGCGAGATACGCGAGATTTGAAAGGGATTTAGATCTAAGAATCGCCGAGAATTCATGGATTGCAACGTCTTACGGGAGCTCCACGGGGATTCCGCAGTTTACTTTCTTCCGCGTTGTGCTCGTTTTCTTTTTCCTCCATCCTCGTCGAATTTATTCGGTTTCTCTGCGATTTTACGAAAAACCGCGATCACTCCCGCTATATTCGCGGATGTGAATTCACAAAATTGCGCGAAAAAAGAAAGAAAGAATGAGTTCTTCTATTTTTTCTTCTCATCTTTTTCTTTCACCATTTTTGTGAACGTAAATTCGCAAAACGGAGTGGAAAAAGGAAAGAAAGAATTAACTTTTTTATTTTTCTTTTCTATCTTTCTCTCGCGCCGTTTTTGCGAACACGAATTCATAAAATAGTGTGAAAGAAAAAAAAGATAAATAAATTTTTTCATTTTTCCTCCTAGTATTTCTTTTTCGCCATTTTCGCGAGCGTGAATTCGCAAAAGAAGAAAAAAATGAATTCTTTTTTTTTTCTTTCTATCCTTCTTTTTTACCATTTTTGCGAGAGTGAATTTTTAAAATGTTGCAAGAGAAAAAATGATTTCTTAAATTTTTTCTTCTTATCTTTCTTTTTCGCTATTTTGACGAAGGTGAATTCATGAAACGGTATGAAAGAAAGAAAAAAGAATTAATTCTTCCATTATTTTCTTTCTCTCTTTCTCTCTCTCTCTTATCATTTTACGTGTGTAGATTTACAAAACAATGTGGAGGAAGGCAAGAAGGAAAGAATTCTCTTATTTTTCCTTCCTTTCTTCAAAAAGAAGAAAGATATGAATTACTTATTTTTCCTTTCTTTCTTCAAAAAGAAGAAAAATATGAATTCTGTTATTCCCATTTTCATCTTCCTTTATCTCACGGCATTTCAGAAAAAAAAAATTCTTTCAGAAAATCGTAGAAGTCGATTAAATTCAACAAAATTCCGCTGGTCGTGCGCGGCACACTTTTCTTCGACGAGGAGGATATACACTTTGATGTAATCGATTCCATGACACAGTATGATGATGCGCTGCCAACCTTGGCCGCTTCCTGTCGCACGAACGTGCGCGCGTACTTATATACACACACACACACACACACACACCCATGAGCAAACACACGAGCAGCAAACATACGCTGACACAATCCCCGACCAATTTTCTTCGACTGCATCGGATGACTCTTTCTCGCACAGCGACATTCTTTTGGGCGATGGCACGTGATTGTCGTGCCGATCACGACTTCGCCGTCATGGATATGCGACCAGAATACGTTCGCTTACACGTGTATGTCCCGTGTAAGCTGGACGTACGTGTCCGTACCCTGCGACGTAATAAGGATCATCTCTCAGTGCGAGAACTCACGGAAAGGGCTTTCGATGATGGTCAGGTCGGAGAAGATGTCCCACGCGGTAATACCAATGCCAACGCGACCCTGCATCGCGCGTTGCTGCAACGACTGCTAAAGGACGACAAAACGCGATGCAATGCCACACTACCAGTACGCCACGGCGATCGCGGACTTTTCTTTTTCCGTGCCGTGGAACAGCGAATATCGAGAGATGAGGATCACGCGGGTTGCAAATTGCGCGTGATTTTGCGGAATTGAATTTCAGTCACACGACGACGAATTTATTTCCTGCCTTTGATTTCTTTCTGGCAAACTTGCTCCTCGCCTTCGCGAAAACTGACCTATCTGCTGGTACCGTAAATTTACATTGAAAAGGATTCCGTAAGGAATCGAAACATTTGCATGCAACATTGCTGTATAAGATATCATATCTTTGTGCATATTTCGCGTGCAATTTCTTAGCGCTCTGCTTTTCTTTATAGACTCTTCTTTTAGACAAGTTCTTTTGGAGTATTGAGCTCACAGAGTCTTTCAATATAATAGAATTTATACTTTATATATATTATATATCTTTTTTTTTATTTACTTTTTCAAGGGTGAATTTATTATCTTCTCAAATGATATGCTTTTGTGGTAAAATATTAAATTCCTTTCCTTTATTTAAACTATCATGAATTTTTTGAGCTCACAGCAAATGCAAATTAGATATATTCTGTATCCCATTTCTTAAAATTTTTCAAAGAAAATCTAGATATGCTTTAAAAAAACCGCTGTCAGAAGGAGAGAGAGAGAGAAATAGCGTAATAATTTTAAATCACCACTTTGAAGAGATTAAAGCCAGAAGAAAATTATTTAATTCTAAAGCTATATAAACAAAATATGACATTTATTGACCTTTCTTGACTTATATATCGATCTCTCAGAGATCGATGAGACACAAAATCGATGCTTGTTCGAAGCCATAAATTTGATCAAGCGTGAGCACTTTAAGTAGAAATCGAAGTTCATGTCAAGAACAAATTTATAATACATTCCATGGCCATTACTTAAGAATCGATCTTGCAAACTCAGCATGAATCATGGTAAATTAGGAGACCACGTGAGTCAAGGAAAGTTCATCCAAATAAGTTCTGTGATCTCGTCCTCAGCGGAATCCTCTTTTACACTTCTGGTACTCTTCTGGTAAAAGTTCTTGCTTATAATATGGAAATAACGCCCTGCAATTAGAATTCTTTTAGAATTGTTCATTAGAATATTCCTCTTTTAGTTTTAGAAGAATCTTCTTGACGCTATGTACACTGAGGGAAAAATTACCTTAAAATCAACAAATATTTCCTTAATG